ATTTATAAGAAGTAATGCATTGAATAATACGTTTATTGGGTTTAAACTTGAATACGTCTGTGAAAGAATGCACAGTAGGCTATAATTTTTTTTTAAACAACACGGAAATAGCGACAATTGTGCATATAAATTACTATGTATGGGCTTAAAGTACAACCTGTGAGCAGTTTTTCAAGATCCTTTTGTGATCTTCGTTTTACACTTGTTGATGCGCAGCGGGTCATCTTAAAAGTGCCGTCGGACCTACCGATCTCTGTATAACGGCCGTTGGAGCCCTCTGCTGGTAGGGAATCGTAAGATGGCCGCTCGAACACTTCCGGTGGCTTCACTGCCTGGTGGCAGTTTAGAACGTCATGAGCTATCCAGTCATTATATAGATCAGTGGTTCGCGCACACACACCTTCTAGTGGAATTTTGTTTTCAAGGGCTCAAATCACTTTTGCTGTTGTTAGTGATGTAAATTTTGTCCGAAACCAATAATTCTTTATATTTGAAAGCCGATAACCAATAAAATGGCCGATAAATCTAAATCCGAATTTTTAAATAATTTTTGAAAGCCTGTTTACAAAAAAAAAAAAGTCTCACCACTAAAAGCCACGTCCCAAACACACAATTATAATGATGTTCTGATTATAATGTTATGTAGCCGATATGACTGTATTGCACTGAACTGTATTTTCCTTTTTGATGTGATTCCAATCATATTTCAAGCAATTCAAAACCATCATGTTGAACAGTGCGCATCTGAAGTGCCTCAGCTGAAAGAAATAATACATTATTTATCAGCTTTAATATATTTTGGCCAAATTTTTTTATTTGGCTGATAACGATAACATATATAATCAAAATAGATATCGATATGGTGGCCTACTGTTGTACATGCACCATCTGCGTGGACACAAAAATGGGGATGTCCACGGACCCTCCCGATGATGAAAATTATGTCATGTTGACAGTGCGCGGATCAAAGTATAATTTAGGCTTTAGATTGGTCTTTTAAAGTAAGTCTTTGGGATTTTCCCCACTCATTTCATTATCTGACGGGCAAAAATTGTAAGTCTGACCATTTTTCTGTAACAGAGTGGATCATGGTATGCATGAACTAATAAAATGTATACCTTAAATGCATTGTAATATGCTTTGGTGAACAAATGCATAACAATGGAGGTTTTAATGCATGTCTTGGGTCACATGCGAAAGTTTAAATGGTTTGTTCAAACCACCATCACCCTAATATGAACATTAGTTATGCATGCATTGACTTTTTTATTTAGATGATTGTTGCAATGGTATTTTTTAGGATTCTTAAATCTTGGCTCTGAGAGGTGTGAGTCAGTGGTCAGAATGGCTCCTCTGATTATCTGCAGGTGTGTAACAGTCCCGGCAGCAGATGTGTGTGTGTCTGCCGTGACCCTCGGGACCCTGCTGGGCCCTCGGTGCTAAAACAACCCCAGGACAGCATGGCAGGAGCCATTAGTGCGGCTCTAAAGCTGCTGGCTTTCTCACTTTATTCTGGTGCTAAATGAGGAATCAGCCAGTCTCCCCCTTCTTCTGCAGGCAGTAAAGGCTTTCTTTACCTCAAATCTCTGGCTTTAAAAGCGAGGCCAAGGGCTATGAGCCAAATTAGTTTGTGCTTTCATTCCCCTCAGTTCATTAAGTGCAGCATTAAACCTTCAGGAAAGTTTTCCCAGTGTTGTTTTTCCACTAATGCTCCTGGACATCATGATCAGGAACTACACTGAAAAAAACAATAAGTCAAATTTACTTAATTTTTTCAAGGCAAATTTTTGCACTAATATTTTTTGAGTAAATTTCACACATAGAATTAAGTAAACTCTACTTAACTAAGTTAAGTGAAAGTAACTAAAGAAATTAAGTAATTTTTACTAAGCTAATAAAAGGTTGAGTAATATCTATTTGGTTGAATTTTTCTTTGTAATACATTTCACTCAATACAACATTGATTTAGATTTCACTTTTTAAGTATATGATTTACTTAGACACGTCTAAGACTAAGTAATCAATTTGATAGATATAGTGTGTCACCATATCTACATTTCAGAAGTTGTATGTGTGAACGCTGAGACCTCAATACTTGGTACACAATAAACAATGACGGTAACATTTGATGGATCGTTTTTGTATTTGAATGTGTCATTTTAAGTCGAAAATGAACTCCAAATGTCACAAAATGGCAAGTTACTAATCCTAACAACAAAAGCAATGATAAAATAGTGTAAATACAGCTGGAAAACAGTGATAAATCAACCTCATTAATTATTCAAGGCCCAGTGCATGATGGGAACACCAGTATCAGAAAAGTTGAGTAATTTTACTTAATTTTATAATGTTGATATTTACGCTTTCATTTCTACACGATTGAATTGAGTACTACTATAGAATTTACCTATTTTTTTTATTCTTGCCTGAACTAACTTTTTTCATGTAAATTACATTGTTTTTTTCTGTAGTATTTACTTCACCACAAAATCATTTTTATCAGTGTAGGCTTTTTATAGGAAAATGTGAAGGAAAATGCTAATACTCAGTGTTAGGGTTTTTTTGTTTAAATCACTAACACTAAATATAATCCATAGAAAACTAGGAAAAGTTATGCTCTATATATTCTGTGTCTATTATTTATCCACTATTGTATTTTTTATTATTATTTTTAAATTAGCTTTATATTTATAATTTGTTTAATTTAATTTTTAGTAATTTTGGTATGTGCTTTTGTCATTTTTATTATTTTTATTACTATTTAGGTGTATTTTTTTTATTTAGTTTTAGTTTTGTATTGATTTTCAGTTAGTAATTTTAGTGCTTCAACTTAAACTAACCAAAATTAGTCGAGTTTTTGGCAACTAAATTAAGTAAGTTTAAGATATTTATATTTTAATTGATTAATATAATACTAATAAATAGTATTATTATTATTTTTATATATTTATAAGTTTTCCTTTTATTTTAAGTATTTTTTTTAGTCATTTTAATTAATTATTTGTAATATTACTCTTTAGGGTTCATTTATTTTTATTTGAGCTTTTATTTTATTTTTTAGTTCAGTTTAAGTTTTTATGTCCAGTTTGTAATTTTAGTCCTTCAACTTCAAATTTTCTTCAGTAAGTTTGATTTTTTATTTATTTTTTCATCTTTATTTCAAGTAACACGCATGTAGTTGTAGTTTTTACTCTAATAACCTTGGTCTGTTAGTCTGGAGTTGTACATCTGGTCCAGGTATGGTGTGAGCGAGACTCCCGGGGTCAAGAGGTCACGCCCTCATCAGTGTACATCCTGTGGAAATGGGCCAGAGGATGTCATTAAGACAGATTAGTCAAAGTCTTGAGCATATGTGGAGTAGTTTACTCACACCGTTTTAGTAGCAGCTCACGGTTTGCGTTAATTGTGAATTATGTTGTTTGCTGCATTATTTTTAGTCCATAAATCTGCTCACTTACCATTTCAAACTGCAATTTGTAAGCAGTTTCCCACATATAATTCATGCAAAGCAGCCAGTCTACAGTTTCCCATGATGCATATCTGCATAGTTTATTCTAATGTAAGCAAAATATCATTGACATTTACTGGATTGGCAGCAGAGAAGTAGTTTTGAAATAGTTTTTACATGCACACGCTGAAGTCTTCTGTCATGTTTGTCTTTGGTTATGTGATTGTTTCCAGTAGAGCGTTTAGGAAAACTATGGATGATTTATGTGTTTAGAGAAAGAAATTGATTGTACGGGGAGTAGAGATGCTCCAACTCGGGATAAAAACAGATCCGCATTGAAAATTGCATTCCCAGAGTGAACCAAACAGGTGCATGGTGTGTCAATCCAATTTATGATCCAACTTTTCACGTTTATTTGTTTTGTTTTGACAGTGCTTTCTTTTTACAGGGTAAAAATAAGTAGAAAATCATTGGCCAGCATTATTATTTTTCCATAAAGGTAATCTTAAAAATGTTTGATCTAAATTTCATAATTAATTATAAAGGAACGGCAAGTAACACAATGGATTAAATCAGAAATTTTGAAGTAGAAAGACTGAAATAGTACAAAAATCTTTGTTTTAGTTACAACTTTGAAAATCATTTTTTTACTGTTTCATGGAAAATGTCAAAAAAAAAAAAAGCAATGGTATCAAAGTTGTATTTTGGGATCCTGTATTGCATCCAAATATAAACTATGCAAAGTACAAATTTTGTGCCCCATTTAATCTTCATAGTCAAAATGAAGTATGGAGATTCTTGTTGAAGGTCTTAATGTTAAAATGTTAACATTAGGCAATAATTATCATGTGATGATTAAACGGTAAAGAACAACAGTATTTTAAAGTATGCATGTTAACTCTGGGTGGGAGTGAATGTCTCTCGTCCCGTCATGTCAAACAACTTTATCCCAGATAACACCAGGAATATGATCAGATCTGTGAAGATACACACACGAGCGCCGTGGCCTCGAGAACAAGGCCTCTTTAGTGTCGCGAACACCCGTCGCTTTATTTGATAATCCATATTTTATGTATCTTCCTTTCTGTTTTTCCACATCCGCCCTGATCTGGCACGCTGATTACAGAGCTCTCGAGTCTGTCTGGTTCTGTCACGCAAGCGTATTTGTTTTGACTTCTTTCCTATACACCTTTAAGCGCTGCTCTCGAGTCAGCCGTAACCCCTCATTATCTCACCTGAGTTCGTCGTGTGAGTTTAAACGGCTGATTCTGGGTCGGCCGATGCCGTGCTGTGTGTATAAAGGGTTATATTTGTCTTTTGGCAGCGAGCGAGCGCTGTGTTGTTGAGCGCCAGGACTCTGATAATTGTGGGATTGTGTGTTGCGGCTGTCACCACATGAAGTGCTGCTGGTTTTGAAGGCTCGAGCGCACATTCCTGTTACACAAGTTACTGTTTGTCTCTCAGACATCTCTAATGCTGCCATTACAGTGAACTTCAGATGTTGCATTCATGGTTGTGTAATAAAACATTTTCTTTTTCCTGTTCTCTCTAGGGAACGCAGTCGTCCAGCGCCGATGAGAGCGGTCGCAAACTCGCAGTCACGTTTCGAAACGACAGTAAGACCTCTCTTTAACTGCACTGTTAATGTATGGATCTAGTGAAAACATTTTTAACCCAAAACAACAGATTTAAAAAAAGATTTGGCACCTTAAAAACACTGGGACATTAATATTAAATTCTCATTACTGTCATGCACCTGGACATTTTCTTTTTCATTAAATCACAAATCAAACTCTTGCATAGATTATAAAATAAGAAAAAAAATTAGATGCATAAAATTAGTTTTATTTAAATCTGCATAAATTACAAAAAAGCAGTGTGCATACTACATTAATGCATTAATACTTTGCAATTAAAAATATTTATAATATTAATAATTTTGCATTATGATAATGACAGTTTTTTGGGAAAATACTTTTTATTTTTTTAATACAAAAATGTTTTATTTAAATCGGTGTACATTTAAATAAACAAAAAACATATCGATGCAATTAAATAATATCTAATTATTTATTTTGCATTATGATAATAAGAATAATTTAAGAATATTATAATTATTTTTATTTAAATCAGTGCAAATTAAAATAAATATAATAAACCAAAAAAGGATGCATTATGATAATGAGAATTGGGTTGGAATTGTGCTTAATTGTCATTAAAATATTGTCACAATTTAAAAAAAGTACTAAATATAAGCATAAGCTTGTGTAATATTTTGCGATGTTCCAATACTTCCTCTCAAAACTCTGTTTATTTGAGCAACGTTGACTCAACCAATGGGGTGAGTTTGGAACGGGACTATCTGTTGGCCAACCAATAGAAGATGTTTAGGCAACCTGTCTGAAAACAGTCATTATTTGAAAACAGTTCCAGTTGCTGATGCTAGTGCCATAAAAATGACACTCTTTGCCTTTCAAGCAAAATATAGTAATATTATATAAAATATAATGTGATTTTTGTGGGAAAATATGACATGTTCTGTGTGAGATTAACTTTAATTGATTCTCTTTGCTTGGCTTGATGTAGTATTTATTCTCTTGTTAATGCCTGACGTTGTTTCAGTCAAGCTTCCTGAGCTCTTGTCCGCCCCTTAAGCGATGAAAAGTCAAGTTTCTCATAGCTAATCCTGATTTTTCCTCCGCATTCAATCCCCATTATGTGTGACTACGAACGGGAACGGGCCTCGGCTCAAAGCCATTCTCATTAGCATCACAATAAGGCTTGCGTAAAAAAGAGCGACGGGGTGTGAGGGACACAAGCGACTGCTCCTCTTCTTTTACCTGCTTATCTGTAGTCGCCGAGGAGAAAGAAAGTAGTGAAAGAAAGAAATAAGGAAGGAAGGAAGGGGGTGGGGAAATAGTGTCTTCTCGCATGGCTGCATATTTTCTCTCAGAGCTTGCCAAAGAATCTCACCGATGTTCTCACAGGGAAACACTGTCTGTCTTTCTATTTAACTCTCTCTCTCTCTCTCTCTGTGTTCCTGCTCTTTTTATCCCAATTAGATTGCTCTCTCAACTGGAATCTGCTGGGGAAACACGCCATCCATGAAGTGAACAACATCACCTACAGTCACTTGTCATGTGACAGCCAGGCGGCTGTGGTGGTCCACTGGATGGCCAGTCCTCTCGGTAGGTTTCTTCTCAGGAGGGTTGGAGAAACTACTTTGAAATGCCCGACATGTCAACTTGTGTCCCAATGGACTGAGTTTGGGGCGAGACGACCTGTTAGTAGATAAAGAACGGGCCATTTTTGCAAAAGTAGTTAACAACATTAGGCATAGCTGTGTTTATCTGATGCGAAACAATCACAACGAGGTTCTCGTTTAGGGTGATGCAAGACGTCAGACAAATTTACATAAAATGCAACCTTTTTTTATATCAGTTGCATTTGGTGTAAATGATAATGTGTATATGCACACAGACATATGCACACACTTATATATAAATGCACACATAGTATGTAGTGTGTGTGTATATACTGTGTGTGTATATATATATATATCTTGATTATAATTTACACTAAATGTAACTATACGCCAAAATATATGTATGTGTGCATGTGAGTATATATTTTTTATTTTATTGCAAATAGTTGCATTTAGTACAGTATAAGTGCTGACAAACATAAACATATATTTATATATAAATATGGATAAATGTGTGTGTGTATACAGTATATACACAACATACATCTTAAGTGTGTATTAATACAGTGAACAAAACATGTGAAGAAATCATGATCTGTACAGTATATATACAGATTAAATATATATTCTGTATATATATACACTACCGTTCAAAAGTTTGGGGTCGGTACGATTTTAAATACTTTTAAAAGAATTCTCTTCTGCTAACCATGGCTGCGCTTATTTGATTAAAAATACAACAAAAATCAGTTATAGTATTAAATATTATTCCAGTGTAAATCAGCTGTTTTCTGTGTGAATATATAGTAAAGTGTAATTTATTCCTGTGATCAAAGCTGAATTTTCAGCATCACCAGTGTCAGTGTCTTCAGTGTCAAATGATCCTTCACAAATCAGTATAATATGAGGATTTGATGCTCAAGAAACATTTATTATTATTATCAATGTTGAAACAGTTGTTGGTCTGTCAGTTGTACAGTTTTTTTTTTTTTTTTTTTTTAGGATTCTTTGATGAATAGGAAGTTCGAAAGACTTTTGTAACATTATAAATGTCTTTACTGTCACTTTCTATCAAATTAATTATTCCTTGATAAATAAAAGTATTGATTTCTTTCCTCCAAAAATTTCTTTCTTTCTTCCTTTTGTTTGATTTGATTAATCCAGATGAATCAATTGGACTGCAAAAATATATGCCTTTATTATCACACATATATTTATATATACTCTATATTTATGTCTGCAATATAAAAAACAAGCATCTTTGTCACGAAAAACAGCTTGTTAATAGAAATGCTGAGATACTGTCAACCTGCTGAAAAATAAAGTTAGTTATGTTGCTGCTGTTAGTCAGTTACTCCCCTCCACTAAAATCAATAACCAGTAGATGGAAAAGTTTGTGTCCCTAAACAGTCCTAAAAAAGAGATTTCAGACTGCGTGTCTGCGCTTTCCATTAGCGTGCACGAACCCATAACAAAGCGCATTTTAAAGTGCATGTGTTTTGCATGGGTGGTTGCACATGAGGGTGATTTATCTCAGTCTATCTCCAGCCTGGAGAGAATGGAAGAGGAGCTCGAAGAAAGAAAGGCTCTTCAAAGAGAGTTCCTGCTCGTCCTGATCAAAGCCGCAGGTTCCCTCCTCCCGGGCCGCATTATTCTCCGGCCCTGACAGTCCCACGGATCCGTCTAAGAGACGGGAATAGATCGGCTCATAGCAGCAGTGCTGTGATTTTTGTCGTTGGAGGAATGTGTGTGTGTGTGTGTGTGGTTGAGAGAAAGACGGGGATGTCCCTTGCTTCCGTCTGCCAGGGCGCTATTGAACTTGGTAATGCGAGCTTTCGCCTGACAAGCGGGACAATGTGGCCTGTTGTTTGCTCGAGGTTAATCCTTTTGACTGGGGCAGGACTTGACACAGCTCAGGTGTATATTAAAGAAACTCAAAGAAGAAAGCATTGGGTGTGGGGCCTTTTCCTAATGCACTACGCTTAAAGGGATAGTTCACCTCCCAAAAAATGAAAATTCATCATTAGATGCGTTTACACTGTCAGAGCAAAAGCGGGGGTGTGCCAGGGCCACTTCCGGGGCTTGATCGGGCCTTTTCGGGGGTTCTTTCGGGGCAATCAAATATTGATGCTAGAGTCTTTTAAGTCTGTCATGTTCATTTTGCGATCTTGCTAGTTTTCAGTCACCTAGCTTCCCAATGCTGGTGAAATGGTGAGGTTTTGTGACGTTTATTCCAGAGAGGCATGTTTTAGGATAGCGCTCCGGGGCTAATGGCCCGACAGTGAAAACGTAGCTTGATTTTGGACTTTCGGCTCCAGGTCCGAGGCTATTGGCCCCGCCCGGCACGCTGTTAAGGCCTGTTCACACCGGGATGAATTTCGCGCGCGATATTCGCCGACGTTTTACGCCTCGTGACTAAACAAAGGGCGCCAATGTGAGTGTGCACACCGACGCAAAAAACGCCACGCGTAAATGCGCCATTTTTTAAAAACCGCCTCGGGTTCGTTTTTTTAGTTTGATGCGCCGCGTCAAAAACTATCCGACCAATGAGATTGGCGCTTTTGCTCACGTGTCTGGAGCTTCTGAAGTTACAGTAAAACACAACTTGGGGGCGCTCAAACACAAAACGGTCTTGCCGAGCACACATACGTAACGGCGAAGAAGATATACGCCCAGTAGCGTCTACACTGCCGGGAAGAAATAAGACGAGGAAGATGCTAGGCAAGATGAATGTAGAGCTGCTGCTGGTCTCGTTGCTGTCGGAACATAAAGAACTATATGACAAACGCAACAGCGACTACAAAAATCTTGATAAAAGAGAACTGTTATGGAGTGGTGTTGCAGAGCAAATGGGCGCCATCTAATGTCAGGGAATGAATTTGCATGTTCACTCGGCTCATCGTCAGCGAGAATCGCTTGAGTGTGAACACAAAAAACGCGTTGAAACGCTGGCGAATAACTCGCGCCGATATTCGTCCCGGTGTGTACGGCCCTTAAGCCCTGGCTCACACTGGCCCGATAGTGGAAAAGCAGCTATTCACTCACCCTAGTGTTGTCCCAAAGAATATCTCAGAGATGTTTTTTTTTTTTCATGCAATGAATGCATATTTTGTCCAGATACACCGAAAACACAAAATGCCAAAATGTATGTAATTTTTCACCGTCTGTCTTCTGCTTTGCTGTACCTCTCAAATCTCATTTGCACTACAGCATATTCAGAGTTATCGTATGCCATTCTTCCTCACTGAAAATCTTTCTCTTCGCCATAGTTCTCAAATCTCAAACATGCATGAGTTATGAGAAACAATGGCGTTTGCTTTTTCACTGACGACAGACTTGGAATGATTGAAATGAGATTTGAGAGCTGCAGCTGAGGGGAATAATGACTTAATTTTCAGTCATTTTCCCACACAAAATTGTCATTTGGCTTCAGAAGATTGGGACTATAGCAAACAAATCAAATTTACAGTACATTTATGATGTTTTTATGTCATTTTTGGAGTTCCCATTCACTGTCATTGAATGAGCTAAGCATCAGAATTTCTCCTTTTTATTTTTTTAAGCCATATGGGTTTTAGTAAGACATTTAGGGCGAATAAATGATGACAGAATTTTTATTTTTGGGTTATTATTTTATTTGTATTTTTATTCCATATTTGATCATGCAGGTACGTCGCACGACCCTTAATTAACATTGGAGAACCGTGAACATGCAAATGTGTTGAAATCACAGTTAATATTTAGGTCAAAAAGTTTCCCTGATTTCGTTTTCATACATAAAATATTTGTCATTGTTTAAATATGTTTCCTCATGAAATGTTGAAATTAATATTAACCTAGATTAATAAATGCCGGAAAAAGCATTTTTCATTATTAGTTCATAATGCCTAATGCATTAACTAATGTTAACGAATTAAACCGTGTTGTGAATTGTTACCTTGCCACTATTAATATTAAAGGAACCCGTTGAGGGAATGAAAAAGGAAAAGGAGGAAAAGGAGAGCGCACAACCAGTTCCGCAGCTTTTTTTCCACCTTCAGTCATGTTTTTGAAGGTTGTGTGATGGGACGGCTCTCTCTTGATGCTATCTGTAGGCTGGCGGAGGTGTGGAGTTACACTCCGGCACAAAGACTGATTTCTCTCAGGCTGGTAATCGAAACCACACGGAATGTGTGCGGGAGCCTTTTCTTCTGCCCTCTTCCCTCTGCAACTGATAAGACAGAAATCTAATTAAAAGCAAGGCATGCTGGCACACTTTGAAGGGCACGGGAACGCTCCGCTGGCACGCATGCTCCCGTCCTCTCGCTGTGCTAAATGCCTCCTCTCTTTCTTCAGGGGTGCTTATAAAAATAAATAAAAAAACAGGGAAGAAAAATTATGCATGCCTTTTCCAGTCCTGGAAGTTTATGGTGGGACTTGAGCAAGTTCGAATTTGCTCCTCGGATTAATGCTGAGTAGACAGCCGTCTATGGTGTTAAAAAAAGGCAAAATTTGATGCAAAGGGATATGTTTTGAAATAGTCATTTGTGATGTCACAACCGTGAGCTCATTATCATATGACTGCCCACATTTACATATTCAACGTTTCACCCTTGTGATGAACAACATGAATTGCACCAGTTAGCTGAGAATCTTAAAGGTACAGTAGCAAAAACAGACAGTTTTACAGGCTGAACTCGAAAAATTAGAATATCGTGCAACAGTTCATGTATTTCAGTAATTCAAATTAAATGGTGAAACTAATATATTTAATATATATATAACAGGTGAAACTCGAAAAATTTGAATATCGTGCAAAAGTTCATTTATTTCAGTAATTCAAATTAAAAGGTCAAACTAATATATTTAATATATATAACTATATGCATGATTATACTTTTCAGAGGGCCGACAGTTCTGTATTTAAAATCCTTTTTTTGAATTGATTTCATGTAATATTCTAATGAGATTTTGAATTTGGGGTTTTCATAAGCTGTAAGCCATAATTATCAAAATTATAACTTTTGCACGATATTAATTTTTTTTCGAGTTTCACCTGTATGTCTATAAAAAAAAAAAACGGAAAATGGCCCAAAAAGTTACATTTAAATTTTTGCAGCAATAAACCTTGACTAACATTAGAAATCAATTCCAAGAAAAAAATAATATGTAAAAATGTCCCTTTTTAAAGGTTTTTATAAACTTGAATTGCACCATTTACCTGAGAATCTTAAAGGTACAGTAGAAAAAAGCCAATATACAGATAAGAAAGGGTGGGAAATGGCTATAAAAAGCTACATTTCAGGGAATAAACCTTGACTAACATTAAAAATCAACAAAAAAATCCCGTTTAATGCTTTTTAGGATTAAATCTGTATTATAAACTTTCTCGTGACAATGCAAGTGAATTCCTTAATAATTTATGCATTTTCAAAACTAAACCAGTCAGTTGCACAGGTATCCTGCAGCCATCTGGATTTATGTGCTTTTCTATTGTTTAAACCCCTGTATTTCATACAACCTGTTTGATCTGCTAGGTATTGAACACGTGAAAGGATTCAGAGTGTATCTGGAGGACAAGAATCCTGAGGGAAAACAGTGCCAGCACATGATCCTAAAGGATCCCCGGCAGCTTAACTTCTCTTACAAAACCATTGTAAGTATATGTGGTTGTGTTCAATGAAACAGAATATATAGTGTCCTTGTTACAATGTAATTATACATTTAAGTACTGAGTAATATTAAGCAACTACATGTACTTACTATAGGGTTAGGGTAGGATTAGGGTTTGGTTGAGGGTTAGTTCCATGTAATTATGCATAATTTACTGTTATTACTATGGTAAGTACATGTAACATATGTAACAAGGACACTGTAAAATGAAGTGTTACCGAATAATTTACTGGAAAATTAAATGTTATGCTCATGTTCATCTGTTTGGCACCATTTTACATTTTTCCCAACAGAGGATGAGCTCACAGCCCTTCGCCGGTCTGGCTTTCGAGGCCGACTACATGGTCAGGATCGTGCCGTTTCCCACGTTCCTGAACGACAGCTTCTTTCCACCGTCTTTTCTGCGCACTAACAGTGAGTGTTAGGCCTGAAACATACCATGCATACTGACCTTATTCTGTCCCACTTTTGAAACAAATTTTAAATTGATCAAATTAAATAATTCTGGTGCACAAAATAACATTTACTTATTTTTTACTATAAGTTATAGTGTCATATTATTACTTAAAATGACTTAACTGGTATGGAAAAGTTTAGTAAATTCAAAACATGAAGTAATTTCTCTTCCTGGTTCCTTGCGTTCTCACAGCTTGTGAAGTGCTTCTTGGCCCGGATAACCTCGTCTGCAAACCATGTGAGTTCTTTAAAGAGAGAGAGAGAAAAAAAGATATCAAATCCAGTTCATCTGTTTCTGTTAACCAAGCTGTGAAACGGCCTGAGATCTTAAATAAAGCCGAAACTCTTCTTTCTCTTTCCCTGGCAGTTTGGAAGCCCAAGATGCTGAATGTTTCTCAACTGGGATCTAATTTGCATGTTGTGTTTGACCACGCCCCTTCCACATTCGGCTTCTCCATCTACTACCTGTATTACAAGCTCAGGCAGGAGGGGCCCTTCAGACTCAAGCGCTGCAAACCTGTGAGCATTTTTTCACTTTGCATTTTTCTCTAATAGTTGCATTGGAGAATTCTGGCACAAATTCATAAGCATTTGCCTTCAGGTCGTTTTTTTTTAGATGCAAATGTTGTTGAAGGAATAGTTCACCCTAAAATGCTCACTCTCATGTCGTTCAGACCAGTTTATGACGGGAGATAAGCAGTTACATCTGTTAGGCTTGCTTTAAAACGGGACTTTACAGCTTTCACGATGCTGTATCACACTTTTAAATCTCACATTTTCACTGGAAAATGTAATCAATCTTACTAAAAATAATATGCAAATATGTTTTGAAATAGCCATAATTTTATTTTCACAACCATGTGGTCATTATCAAATGACCGCCCACATTTACATATTGAACGCTTCTGATGAGGAACAACATTAATTGCACCAGTTAACTGAGAATCTTAAAGGTACAGTAGCAAAAAAAAAAAGCCAAGCCAGTTTATTCAGATCAGAAAAGGTGGAAAATGGACATAAAAACTACATTTACATTTTTAGGGCAATAAACATTGACTAAAATACTAAATCAAATCCCTGATTTGTCACTTTTAATGCCTTTTAGGATTTGATCTATTTTGTAAACTTGAATTGCACCAGTTAACTGACAGTCCTAAAGGTACAGTAGCAAAAACAGCCAGTTTATTCAGATCTGAAAGGGTGGAAAATGGCCATAAAAAGCTTTTTACATTATTGTGGCAATTAACCTTGACGAACATTATAGATAAAATCCAATATGCAGCAATTTGTTCCTTTTAATGCTTTTAAATATAAACTTGAATTGACCAGTTAACTGAGAATCTTAAAGGTACAGTAGCAAAAAATAAAAAAAAGCCTGTTTATTCGGATCAGAAAGAATGGAAAATGTCCATAAAAAGTTGTGTGTTGTTATTTTTCAGTAAAGAGGCGTGTTTCCTAATGGTTTTCATGCTATCATCATCGGATAACTGTAATTGTTTGCATACTCTGTTAGCGCTGAAGCTTTGCACACACACACACACACACACACACACATGGAGTTCCTCTGGCTGGAAGTGAGATGTTCAGGGTTAACGCTCCCAGCAGCGTGTAATGTTCTTCCCAGACTGCTGGAATAATATATAGTCTTCTCTGTTGAATCGTCCTGCAGACTTGAACCTCACAGAGCCGCTCTGAACGCTAGACGTACGTGTTCTGCTGCTTTGGTTGGGATTAAAACGGAAATGCTTTCACAGCAGCACTTCGTCGCATAGAAACTGTGCTGGGAGTTAGAAGACGCTATCTGTCTTTCCTTTTGGCTAAAGACGGGTGTTTTATGGGTTCAGGAATAACTCTCTTAAAGGGAAAGTTCAGCCAAAAATGGCTCACTCTCATGTCATTTCAAACGCATTTGACTTTCTTTTGTGAAACTCAACAGTATGTTCATGCTGCTCTTTTCCATACAGAGAAATTGAATCGAATGGGGAATGATGCTGTTAGACTCCAGAAAAAAACTTAAAGAATATCTGAATTTAAAACAGTGATAATAATAATAATATAATAAATAAATAATATCTAATAAGTACTACTACTTCTACTCCTACTAATAGATTAGAATAATGATAATTAATACAATTATGAATATGATTTACAGTTTTTCTCGATTGCTTAAACACATTTCTTGAAACTATGCCTCGTATTCTCAAAACAGTAAACACAAATCCATAACGTCTCACCCAATTCCCCAAACATCCTATTTTCAGGTCAAAATGAAGCTCTACATTCAAAACCATTCACTCTTGCTGAAAAACCAAACTTTGCCCTCAGACAGGACACACACCTTAAAAAATACACACACTACAACATAGTCTTACACACTGGTGCTATAAATTCAAAACAACATTTCTTAAACTGGTAAGTCATATTGCTTGTGGTCCCACTCTTACGTAAGATGTGTGTGAGCATCATATGACCGTAAAAGAGCACACACAAACCTTATTCAAATATGGTTCAAAGTATTGGAATGGTAAAGAGTGTTGGTACATGCCTCCACTCACAATATGATGAACAAGTCTAAGAATGTTCCACGTATGGGTGAAATACCATCATTGGCCTAGAAAGATAACATTCTGGGAGTCAAGACTATAAAGGAGAAAGGATGCCCTCCCTTCACTGTCACACACACTCTGTGTGACTGTACGACTGCTGGCCTTTTCTTGCAAGAACATAAACCTCATCAAAGACAATTGGAAATGTTTGTCTCTTATTCAGTGATAGAAATGTGTTTGCCACCACACCTCCCTGAAGGTTCTGATGATGGAGGAGACGGTGAAGCGGCTCAAGTTTGGCTGTACTCGTTGCCCAGCCTCCCTCAGTCATACCATGGAGAAGGACATGGCCAACTAAAGTGGCTTGAATTTCATCCGAGACTGCTTGTCTTCTTGCCCTTGCCCTTCCTCCTCCTCCTCCTCCTCTTCCTCCGCCTCTTCCTCATCCTCATCCTCATCCTCTTCCTCTCCCTCTCCCTCCTCCTCCTGCTCCTCCTCTTCCTCTTCCTCCTCCTCCTGCTCTTCCTCCTCTCCCTCCTCGACCTGCTTAATTTCTCTGTGGATCCATTGTTCCAAAACTCATTAAACTGATTTTTATCTTTTATAAAATATTGTATAACCTTTTATCTATCTATTGAAGGATCTGACTGATGTGTGTTCAATTTTGACTCTTAGTGTTTTCACCTGGGTAATTGTGTGCTAACTGAGCTGAAGCTGTGCTGACTTGAGTGAACAATATTGAATGCTAGTGCTTTCTAAATGACCACGTGGTGTAGGCAATGAGAAATGAAGGGATTTGTGTGTTTGGGATTGAGTTTTGCTGTGACAGTTCAACAAATCTGACTAATGTGTCAAAACAGGGGAATAGTGTTCATAGTTCAGTGAAATGGGTGTGCTTTTTGATAAATGGCATTATGGTTTTGAAATTTTAGTTCAAAAGCCTGGTTATAATGTTTAAGCAATTGAGAAAAACTGTAATAAGAAGCAATAAATGTCACTACTAATATTAATGATAATAATAATAATTATTATTATATCTATTATTATTATTAGTAATAGGGGTCGTTGTAGTAGTATTTATTATTATTCATTATTATTTTTTAATGATTTAGTATTTTATTACCGTATTAATAATAACAATAATTGTTATTATTATATATATTATTAGTAGTAGTAATAGGGGTCGTTGTAGTAGTATTTATTATTATTCATTATTATTTTTTAACGATTTAGTATTTTATTACCGTATTAATAATAACAATAATTATTATTAATTATATCAATTATTAGTAGTAGTTGTAGTGGTAGTAGTAGTATTTATTACTGATAAATAATAATCATAATACGTCATAAATACAACTACTACTCAAATTATTATTAATAATACTAATAATAATTGTTATTATTATGAATTATTATTAGTAGTAGTAGTTGTATTTATTAATTATTAATTATTTAGTATTTAATTATTAATAATAACAACAACAGCAATACAAGTTATTATTATTAATTATTATATCTAATATTATTATTAGTAGTAGTAATAGTGGTAGTATTTATTATTATTAATTATTATATCTATTATTATTAGTAGTAGTAGTAATAGTGGTAGTATTTATTATTATTAATTATTATATCTATTATTAGTAGTAGTGGTAGTAATAGTAGTAGTATTTATTATTATTCATTATTATTTTGAATTATTTAGTATTTTATTATTAATAATAACAATGATTGTTATTATTAATTGTATCAATTATTATTAGTAGTTGTAGTGGTAGTAGTTGTACTTATTATTTTATTATTATGCATTTTATTTGTAACAAGCTTAGCTCAAACTCAAAGTGATATAAGCAAATTAAACACAATGAAGTTCACTTATACACCAAATAATACAATAACAACAAATGCAAGTTAATTAACCACAGAAAGAAAATGCTGCAAAACACACACACACACACACACACACCTGTAACTGATGCAAGTCCTGAAATCACAATGCTGGGGGTTTATTATCTCAGCACTAGCACGAGGTGTTTCATGTCTGTGTCATTTTGGAACATGACCTGGTTCTTTTGAAACATATTTTTCACATATTCTGGGTGTAAAAGCATTGTCCCGGCTCTCTTCAGAAGAGCCCAGCGCTCGTATCTGTAGCCGGGCCGGCCGGCATTGTTTGTAGCGATAATAGATGGAGGTGAAATTTGAGGTGTGCGATGCCGCCACCAACGGGGGATTCCCGGCTTCGACTCTCAGATCACTGTTAGAACTTCAGCTTCCCAACATTGATGTCTAACAATTCCTCTTTATGAATGCATGAGGTTAACAGCTATATACTGAGGTATAAGGTTATATGCATTTGAGTGCATTAGAAACCTTACGTTAACGGATAGCATTAGTAATCGTGCAAGTTTGCATTCTTGCTATGTTAACCTTAGTGAAAAGTGACCGGGTCAACAGTTTATCTAGCGTTTTCTAGCTTTGTTATCAAAGTAACACATGTTTGTTAGAAAGAGAATTCAGTGCTGATGTGTCTGCGAATATACGTTTTTCACAAATACTGTATATAAAATCATGATAATAGGATTGATTTTTTAAGATTGCATCTTTTTGCAAAGCTGAATAGTTTAGAAATGCATTTAAGATATATTTTAAAAGTTGATGCCGGTTATTCACTTACACAAAAGTCTCAGATACTGTATATGATTCAATACATCATATTTTCATTGCACTGAACATTGCATGTAATTTTACATAAAATGCGTTAGATATTGATGTTAAAAATGTGTTTTTGCAGGAGCAAAATGGCTTCAAAACAACATGTGTTTTACAAGACGTCACTCCAGGAACGTATGCAATAGAGGTGAGAGCGTTAATTACATCATGTAAAAAGAGTTTCATTTAAACACTTTTTAAAAGTCAAACTCGGTAGAACAAATTCACTTTCTGATAACACTTTACAATAAGGTTCATTAGTTAGCATGAACTAATAATGAACTGCACTTATTAATCTTTGTTAATTTACTAATGCTTTATTAAAATCTTGTTAACATTAGTTAATGCACTGTGAACTTACATGAAAAAAAAAAGAATGAACAGCTGAATTTTTAACAAAGATGAACAAATACGGTAACCAATGTATTGCTCATGGTAGTTAATACAGTAACTAATGAACCTTATTGTGAAGTGTAACCCACTTTCTTATTCCTGCAGCTTCGTGATGACAACAACACCACCAGAAGACAGACGCAGTATCATGTGAGCCAAGGTAAACGGACTCTAGTGGCGAGAAACGACGGTCCTGGACTTGTTGAACATTTATCTGATGTTGTGTGTGTGTGTGTGTTGCAGTGCATTCCCCTTGGGCCGGCCCGATCCGAGCCATGGCCATCACCGTCCCGCTGGTCATCATGTCGGCCTTCGCCACCCTCTTCACCGTCATGTGTCGCAAGAAACAGCAAGGTGTGTGTCCGTCATTAGCCAGTCTCCGGTTTCCCGCAGACTTGCTTTTGTCCAGTATCTGTAAAGCGACCTCTGTAATCTCACGGCATTCACGAGGATTAATGCATGATGGAATCTAAAGCGCTTTCTGTTGCAGCTCAGGTTGTTCCAGACAAAAGAAACTCCTGTTAGTATGTAATGCATGTGTTTGTTTGTAATTACATGTGTGTGTCCTTCAGAATCGCTGACATAACTCCTCTGATTCTTATGCTTTTAGTTATAGGATGTTTTCTAATAGCTATGGCATTTTAACCCTTGGGTCGTTTTGACCCGTAATTCATTTTTAAACATTGTGTTCATCGGAGGGATTTTGTCACACTTGAACCACGAATACACAAAAAACATTGTGGATTCGAGGAGTTTTGTGGTTGAAATTTAAAACGGAAACAAATCCTTCCCTCGCGGGTCAATTTGACCCCCATAGGAATGCGAGGAATGCTTCAGTACACATAGAAAACCCTAAAAATGCTCAAAATTTAAACTAAAAATGCTAAAACTTTACCAAAAAAGGATTTTTAATAATGTCTACATGTGTATCTGAATGCATACTGACGAGAAATAACTTTAGGACCCAGCGGGAAAGCTCATTTGATCCAAATAGAGCTATAAGGCCATCTAGAGTCTTGAAATACTATGTTATGTTTAAAAAAGACTTAAAGGGTTTAAAAGGGTGATGTATGAAATTGTGAGTTATTTTAAATTTAAGTTGAAAGAATGTGAGGAATGTGCTTAAATTACTATTTATTTATTATTTATTGATCAAATCTAGTAATTTAAAGGTAAATAAAATTAAAATAGAAAAAATATTATCTTCAGGTCATTTTGACACGCGAGGGAAAGATGTGTTACAAAACGCGAGGGAAGGATGAGGGTAAATTGAGTTGCAATGGTGTGTTTATACTATTTATTTATTATTTATTGATCAAATCTAGTAATTTAAAGGTACAGGTGAAACTGGAAAAATTAGAATATCGTGCAAAAGTTCATTTATTTCAGTAATTCAACTTAAAATGTGAAACTAATATATTATATAGACCAGGGGTCTCAAACTCGCGGCCCGCGGGCCATTTGCGGCCCGCGGGGTGATATTTTGTGGCCCCCTACTTGACATTAAAGTGTAATGTTAGTGCGGCCCGTCGTTGCGTGTGCCGCGTTTTAAATGGGCTACCATACGGTGGGTTTGTTGTCAATAGTTGCCATAGACAACCGCTAAGTACAAACATACTGCGCGCCTGGAAAAAATGAGCGCGTCGCTTCAATTATGAGCGCGCTTGCCGCGCACGCGCACCTACATTTGAAATAACGAACTTGAGCTCGCAAAATATGTGAGCGCGATATGTGAACTGCCCCTTGTCGAGCTGCCACCAATCAGGCCGCGAGCTACTGGTAGCTCGCGAGCGACGTGTTGGAGAGAGACCCTGCTTTAAAACAATGTGAGAATAATCATTTTGAGCTTGTAATATGTGTCTAACAGGTTGATAAGAAGGTTTGCTTTGATTTGTGCAGTCAGTAATTTGCCTGAGACACTATACATGTGTAGAAAGAATTCAATAAGACGGGCAGACATGACTGCAAATATTTGTATTTCAAAAGCAATAATTGTTTTTCTAAGTATATAATAAAAGGAAATGTGCCTTCCAAAAAAAACATTCAATATCATTAATGTGTTGTATAAAGAAAATAAAAAGGACATAAGCAAATATAAATATTACAAATATGTGTTATAGACAAAGAAAGTTTGTAAAATGAACTTCAACTGTCAGAAGGACAGCTCATGAAGAACCAATCATGTACAGAAAGGAATGTTCAAATTCAGAGGAACAGTTCAGAAGAAACGTTAATAATAAAGATTGAGAAGATTGGATCAGTTGTGCTCCTTTTTTGGAATACTTGAATACTATTTTTTGTGGAATACTTGATGCGGCCCAGCCTGACCCAGACTCTACCTCCAGCGGCCCCCAGTTAAGTTGAGTTTGAGACCCCTGATATAGACTCATTACATGCAAAGTGAGATATTTCAAGCCTTTATTTGTTATAATTTTGATGATTATGGCTTATAGCTATGAAAACCTTTTCACAATATTCTAATTATGAATTTGGGGTTTTCATAAGCTGTAAGCCATAATCATCAAAATTATAATTAATTTGTTGAATTACTGAAATAAATGAACTTTTGCACCATATTCTAATTTTTCCAGTTTCACCTGTAAATAAAAGAAAAAGTAACAAAAAAAATTCATTAAAAAAATAGAAAAAAAATTATCAAAATGAAATAAAATAAGCTTTCTGAACAAAAAAAGTCATTTCAGGTCATTTTGACATCCAAGGGAAAGATGTGTTATAAAACGCGAGGGAAGGATGAGGATAAGCTGAAAATTGAGTTGCAATGGTGTGTTTTTGCAGAGGTGGATGAGGAGGGATGTAAGACAAAAACACATGTTTCTCAGACATGGACAAATTAGGCTTTACTTTTAGTGCTCTAAAAGGAGTTCTCATATGGAAACAATGAATGCACTTTTTCCCCCACTCGCCTCAAATCTCATTTGATCCTGGTTAGATTCACGTCTCTGATCTGGAATTCCTCTGCAGAAAACATCTACTCGCACCTGGACGAGGAGAGCTCTGAGTCGTCGTCTCTGACCACAGCGCTGAACGCAGACCGGCCCGGGCCCAGACCCAAGATCTTCATCTGTTACTCCAGCAGAGACTGTCCCAAACATCTCGCTGTCATCCAGAGCTTTGCCTTCTTCCTGCAGGACTTCTGCGGGTGTGAGGTGAGGCGTCGCCTTGGTGTGTGTTCAAATCTATGAACAAAAAAACACTAGCGGTCAAAAGTTTGGGGTCAGTAAAACCACGTCATTTACAGGTGAAACTCGAAAAATGAGAATATCGTGCAAAAGTTCATTTATTTCAGTAATTCAACTTAAAAGGTGAAACTAATATATTATATAGACTCATTAGCCTGGCAAGCCAGACCTACATCAAGATGTTAGGTCTGGGAACTCACAATTGGCATGCCTCAATCCGAGGGGCGGGATAAACGGTTGTCTTTCAAAATCCCTCGGCACGCAATAGGATAGCGCTACAACCAACCAGAGCAACGAACGGCTGTGGCTGAGTGAGTCCCATGCGTTTTCCCACCAGTGAACCAGCTAGTTGGTATATTACACTTTTGCCGTATCCGGTCGTCAAAACTCTGTCTGAACACATCTTCCTTTTTTAGGAATGACTTAAAGGGTTAGTTCGCCCATTTAAGACATAAAGTTGTATGCAATCCTTACCAGCACTACAGTGCATACACACTGACCCACTCTGTTGTCACCTCCCTGGTCAGAGTTCTGGCCGATGGAAGTTTTTCAATAAAGTACTCCCGGTTATTTTCCGGGGCCACAAAACTGTGCGTTTTTACGTGAAAAAATGATTTGCGTTTCAAAGCTTGATTAATTTACCACACAAAAAACACGCCGGTCAAAATTCATGTACCTCAGTTTTAATCGGCACTATTTTCTATCCATTTCTATCAATCCGCGCGGCTGTCAACGTCAACAGTGCGCACGTGTGTGTGTATGCACTGTAGTGCTGGTAAGGATTGCATACAACTTCATGTCTTAAATGGGCGAACTAACCCTTTAAGTGACGTTCTCTTAACTCCAAGTCCTCCAAAACAAAGCCGATTCGAAAGACCGCTGTTCGCCAGCAGCATCTTCTTTGTTTTCAAGCAGAGGGAAATCACCCATGGAAATCACGCGGAACCATCATAACTCTGCCGTCATTATGTTAAGCCCGCCCACCAACTCTACACGATCTGATTGGCCGGACCAGTTTTTGTTTTTTCCAGCTCAAAAGTCTATGGAGAGTTGCTAGACCACACTTTGCTGCAAAATAATTTTGCTGCCGCTAGGGTGCATCTAGATTTCTATGCTATAGACTCATTACATGCAAAGTGAGATAATTCAAGCCTTTATTTGTTATAATTTTGATGATTATGGCTTAGAAAACCTTTTCACAATATTCTAATTTTGACTTTGGGGTTTTCATAAGCTGTAAGCCATAATCATCAAAATTATAACAAATAAAGGCTTGAAATATCTCACTTTGCATGTAATGAGTCTATATAATATATTAGTTTCACCTTTTAAATTGAATTACTGACATAAATGAACTTTTGCACCATATTCTAATTTTTCGAGTTTCACTTGTAGAGTGGAAGAACAGGTTTGTAATGTGTGTGGATGACGCCACCTAGTGGCAGTTAGTTTGCTAACCTACATTATTCCACAGATAATAATACATGAGATAATAAATGTATCCTATTTAACTTTATAAATGCATGTTCCTGGTTATGTGCATGATTCATTAGTGTTTGTTTTTCCAAAGATACTTTACAATATGTTCTCATTAGCATGTGACACTTTACAGTCAGGTCTACATTAACAATGATAAATACTTCTACAGAGGGTGAAATAAAACTGACGACCATCTTCCCATATTTGTAATGAGAATCATTTATAAATCTGTTATCGGTTAACAAAAGAGGAGCTTTAAGGTTATTTTCTGCCAAAATAAATGATCTATAGTTTAATGTTTGACAGCAAAGAAATTAAGACAGACATAAATGTGTTGTAATTTTACTGTTTATTATTTATTATAATTATTACTTTTATCATTAAATGCTCATTACAATTAACAAATGTATTATTACAATAAGTCTTTATTGATTAGTTTAATTTTTTTTCTTTTCTTCTTATAATCAAATCAAATATTATGCTAAAATATCATTTTGAATAATAACTACCGGTAGTAGTAGTATTTTTTTATTTTACAGTGAAATAGTAAGACATTTCTTTATTGATTGAATTTTTATAAATTAATAATCATTTAAATAATAAAAAATAATGTTTTACCAGTAGCAGCAGCAGTAGTATTGATGTTATTACTGTTGTTATTATTATATAGTCATATTGAATGAGGAAAACTTTTCTTTTTCTGTCCAGCTGATCACATGCCTCTCTGTGTGCATTTGTGGGAAACTTTAATGCTTTTAAGTGAAATTAAAACTCGTTTTATCAAGACACTTAACCTCAACTCATCGTATAAAGGTGTGTAAGAGTGCATGATGTGTGTGTGTGAGCTTCAGGTGTATTGTTGTGTGTGTGTGTGAGCTTCAGGTGTATTGTTGTGTGTGTGTGAGCTTCAGGTGTATTGTTGTGTGTGTGTGTGTGTGTGTGTGTGTGAGCTTCAGGTGTATTGTTGTGTGTGTGTGTGTGTGTGTGTGAGCTTCAGGTGTATTGTTGTGTGTGTGTGTGTGTGTGTGAGCTTCAGGTGTATTGTTGTGTGTGTGTGTGTGTGTGTGTGTGAGCTTCAGGTGTATTGTTGTGTGTGTGTGAGTTTCAGGTGTGTTGTTGTGTGTGTGTGAGCTTCAGGTGTATTGTTGTGTATGTGTGCGCTTCAGGTGTGTTGTGTGTGTGTGAGGCTTCAGGTGTGTTGTGTTTCTGTGAGGCTTCAGGTGTGTTGTGTTTCTGTGAGGCTTCAGGTGTGTTGTTGTGTATGTGTGTGAGCTTCAGGTGTGTTGTGTTTCTGTGAGGCTTCAGGTGTGTTGTTGTGTATGTGTGTGAGCTTCAGGTGTGTTGTGTTTCTGTGAGGCTTCAGGTGTGTTGTTGTGTATGTGTGTGAGCTTCAGGTGTGTTGTGTTTCTGTGAGGCTTCAGGTGTGTTGTTGTGTATGTGTGTGAGCTTCAGGTGTATTCTTGTGTGTGTGTGTGAGCTTCAGGTGTGTTGTGTGTGTGTGAGTTTCAGGTGTGTTGCTGTGTGTGTGTGAGCTTCAAGTGTGTTGTGTGTGTGTGAGGCTTCAGGTGTGTTGTGTTTCTGTGAGGCTTCAGGTGTGTTGTTGTGTATGTGTGTGAGCTTCAGGTGTGTTGTGTTTCTGTGAGGCTTCAGGTGTGTTGTTGTGTATGTGTGTGAGCTTCAGGTGTGTTGTGTTTCTGTGAGGGTTCAGGTGTGTTGTTGTGTATGTGTGTGAGCTTCAGGTGTGTTGTGTTTCTGTGAGGCTTCAGGTGTATTATTGTGTATGTGTGTGAGCTTCAGGTGTGTTGTGTGTTGTGCAGGTGTCTCTGGATCTGTGGGAGCACCTGGAGATCTGTAAGGAGGGTCAGATGGCGTGGCTGAGCCGGCGTATCGACGAGGCTCACTTCATCATCACCGTCTGCTCCAAAGGCCTGAAGCATTTCGTGGAGAAAAGACACCGTAAGGGCAAGGCCACGTCGAAGGAGAACAACCGAGAGCCGAGCGCTAGCGGAGACGCCGGGAACAGCCGGGATCTGTTCATCGTAGCCACGGCCATAATCTCCGAGAAGATCAGAGATGTGCATCAGAAGTCCTCCGATCTCTCGCGCTTCATGGCGGTTTACTTCGACTACTCTCACGAGAGCGACGTGCCGACGTCCCTCAGCCTGGCGCCGAAGTTAAAACTAATGGATCAGCTTCCTCAACTCTTCGCCCGGCTTCATTCCCGCCAGCTTAGCCTGACGGACCACGAGCCGCAGCCGCCGAACATCAGCAAACGCAACTACTTCCGGAGCAAATCGGGCCGCTCGCTATACGTGGCCATCTGTAACATGCACCAGCACATCGATCAGGAGCCCGACTGGTTCGAGAAGCAGCTCATGCCGGCGCCGGCGCCCAATAAACGTCCCGTTCCACTTCCCGAATCCGGGCTGGTCCTGAACGAGGTGAAACTGAAACACCCTTCGGAGAGCGACTGCCCGGTGAGGATCCTCTCGCTGAGTTTGTCCCGGGATGAGCTCGGGGAAGGATCATCGGGTCAGGACGTGGGTTTATCCGGGCCGGTTCCGGTTCTTCACATGGATGGATCCGCCAGTCCACCGGAGATGCCCAGAGACTCCGGGATCTATGATTCATCCGTGCCCTCGTCCGAACTCTCCATCCCGCTGATGGAGGGACTCTCGCCGGATCACGCCGACACCTCGTCTCTGGCCGATAGCGTGTCCTCCTCCTCCGGACTTGGTAGGAATTTCTCTTATTTAGCATGAATAATTGTATCATTTATTTGTAGAATAATATTTTTTTTTAAATGACACGTTTATACAGACTTCTGTATTTTCAAATGCAACATCATTTTTGTTAATATTTCTAATTTAAGTAATGATCAAATAAAAAGGTTTTAATTATAATACTTATGTATTATTATGATTTAATCAATTTTTTTTTTACTTTACAGTAGTTATATTGCCATAATTAACTGATTAATTTTGTAATTGAAATGCTAAAATAAAATATTTTCTTGAATATTATTGTTTTTAATAATAATAGTTATAATGATGATTAATAAATGCATTATTTTTATTTTTAAACTTCGATAGTATGATTGCAATAGTAATATATTTCTTTATTGAATAGTTAAATAATTTAAATAATGATCAAATTAAAATACTATTTTTAATACTACTAATAATATTTATTATAATGATTTAATAATTTTTATTTTTACATTACAGTAGTATTATTGCAATGGTAATATTTCTTTATTGATTACATTTTTTGAATTTTAATAATTGAAATGATTTGTATTGATGTTATTGTTATTATTAAATAGTAGGCTATACAGTGATTCTGATAATATGCCTGTTCACAGATTCGTCCTGAACTCAAACATATGCATTCTGGATATTTAATATTAATATTTGGTAGCGGTTTCAGCAACTGGTTAGACTGTAGTTGGCACTGTTCACTAAATATTAGCCCATTTAAAGCTGCTGTATATGATTCACACAGTTTTGCTTCAGCATTGGTGCTAACTTGAGAGAATGGGGACATTTTATGTGACATAAAAAAAAATAGCTTGCAGCACTTTTAAATCCATTCTGCAGATTTGTATCTTGATAAGTAGATATAGATGCACTTTCAGATAGAGGCTTGCTGCAGTTTCAGCCTGTTGACGTGTGTGTGTGTGTGTGTGTGTGTGTGTGTGTGTGTGTGTGTGTGTGTGTGTGACAGGCGACGAGGAGCCCCCTGCTGTCAGCTCTCTGCACTGCTCAGGACACACCATCTGTAAGGCAGAGCTCCATCACAACATCCATCATCACAGTGAAGGACTCATAACCACAGCCTCCACCTAGTGGCCTTTCACTGAACTTGCATCGCCACTTTAATTCTATTCATGCCAAGCTGCCAACGTCACATCACAAGCCCTTCATCAGGGAACACCGTTGACGTACCAGATCTTAAGGGATTGGACATTGCGGGCACGTGTTTGTCGAGGCTCTTTTTAACCAAAGTGGTTGTGTACTAGGTATGCGACTGAGTTTGTGTTTGCATTACAGCTGTGTGTGTGTTACTACAAAGGAGCCGATGTCATTCAGAACTTCTTGCCTTAACTGGGTTTCCGTGAACCTGTGACCGTTATACTGAATGCGCGTCATTTCACTTTTATTTATTGCATTAAAGGACAACGCCGGCGCGAAATGAACCTTTGGTGTAATAACACATTGGTACCGAGTCGACCGTTCTCTGGGATTTGTTTTCATGATAATCGAATGTAAAGAGCTTATAACGCTAGTATATAGGGCATAGAATTTGTAAAAAGAAATCGCTAACAAGGCTCAAAATAGCCCCACACTAACACGCTAGCATAATGAGGGTCCCTACATGCAAACCGAAGCATCGAGGACTTTGTAAGTGTACAGACAGTTTAACAAGAAGATACTTTATAAAGTCAGTACACTCATAGACAGTATAAGAAGTGGACAGAGCCATCTCATTGGAACTCAGTTGAGACGGTTGAAGCCCATTTTTAGCGATTTTTGAGCACTTCTGTTCCTGACGCGCAGACTCAAACCGACTCAAACTAAGCTTGATGACGTGAGCAACCTGTCTGACAGACGTTAATCTTCTAGTAGCTGTGCGTGAAAATGGCCAACGTTAATCTGGCAGAGACGGGGAACTTGAGCAAAGAGGTCTTTGGCGTGAGTGAGCAGGAGTAAGTACTCCGTTGCTTTTATGGACTCATTATCTATGGGCTTCTCCCTTGACGGGACGTCCCCCCGATTGCCTGCGAGCTTCTCCTCCTGTCTGTACGGTCATTTCTGTACAGCGCGACAGAGAGTCGAGTGGTTATGACGCAATCGTTTGCCTATTTTTACACGAGCGCCGTGATAAGTGAGCTGGTCGATCGGAATTACGTTTGTGAAATCTAATTACATGGAAATGCATGAATTATATCTGTTTATTAAAATATATGTGACTAACTACAAGGGGAAAAGGGGTCCAATACTTTCATATGAGATTCCAAGTCACAGTTCAGCTCACTTAGCACGGCGTTCGTGGTTCGACTGGTCGAGTCTGTTTTCCAAGATGGCGTGAAGTGTACTGACTTTATAAAGTATCTTCTTGTTAAACTGTCTGTACACTTACAAAGTCCTCAATGCTTCGGTTTGCATGTAGGGACCCTCATTATGCTAGCGTGTTAGTGTGGGGCTATTTTGAGCCTTGTTAGCGATTTCTTTTTACTTATTCTATGCCCTATATACTAGCGTTATAAGCTAAACAGTTTTTAGAGATAAAACTCTTTACATTCGATTATCATGAAAACAAACCCCAGAGAACGGTCGACTCGGTACCAGTGTGTTATTACACCAAAGGTTCATTTCACGCCGGAGTTGTCCTTTAACAGCTCCAGGTGTGTGGGATAACATGTGGTGTTCACTGCAGACGCGTGTAGATCAGCACTTTGTGTTCGTCACATTAGCCCTGGGATCGTTTCACTGAAGAACAAACTTTTTAATGATTTTAGGCCTTTTTTTTTTTTAAATGGACCTTTAAAAAAAAGTTTCAAAAATGCATAAACAGATTAGCGTAGGTTATGGCAAAGGGAAGTACAAGCTAAGAAAATTGAGATGTGCCATTTCTGAAACAGTTTTATTTGTGTACTCTGTTTTATCCAGGTTTTGTACAGTTTTTATTAGAATTATTAGAAGTGATTTCTACATTATATAAACTTTGTACTGTTTTATAGTACTCTAATGTAGGAGATACGACTTAATAAAACTAAGATTTATACGCATTGTGACTGTGAGTTATTATTACTGAAGTGTTGTAGGGAAAATGCTTGAATAATCTCAGGATGATAAAAGAATATGTAAAAGGTTTTGTTCAAAATAACATACAATCATACTATTCTTACTACGTACACAGTATGTACTGCTTTAGCAAATTTTTGAATGCTAGAAATATGCATACAAAATAAAATTACATATAATGAAAAGGGGATTGAAATCTTCAGTGACATTTTAAGTGATTCTTATTTGCATATTTGTATAGAAATGTGCATATAAAAATAAATTATTACTTACTCCTAAGTGACATTTTAAGTGATTTATATTTGCATATATATATAGTGATATTTTTTTAATGCTAGAGATAAAGAATAATGAATTATAATAGAAATAAATGATAAAATATTACAAATGAAGTGATTAAAAACTTCATAGTGATATTTTAAGTGATTTTGTATTTGCATATTTGTATAAAGATTTGTGCTAGAAATATGCATTTAATCAATGTAATATTTTTATTATTATTTTAAAGTGTGTGTGTGTGTGTGTGTGTATATATATACACTACCGTTCAAAAGTTTGGGGTCAGTGAGAATTTTATTTTTTGGAGGAAAGAAATCAATACTTTTATTTATCAAGGACAGTAAAGACATTTATAGTGTTACAAAAGATTCTATTTCAAACAAATGCTGTTCTTTTGAACTTCCTATTCATCAAAGAATCCTAAAAAAACAACAACAAAAACTGTACAACTGACAGACCAACAACTGTTTCAACATTGATAATAATAATAAATGTTTCTTGAGCATCAAATCCTCATATTATACTGATTTGTGAAGGATCATGTGACACTGAAGACACTGACACTGGTGATGCTGAAAATTCAGCTTTGATCACAGGAATAAATTACACTTTACTATATATTCACACAGAAAACAGCTGATTTACACTGGAATAATATTTAATACTATAACTGATTTTTGTTGTATCTTTAATCAAATAAGTGCAGCCATGGTTAGCAGAAGAGAATTCTTTTAAAAGTATTTAAAATCGTACCGACCCCAAACTTTTGAACGGTAGTGTATATATTCCTATATATATAAAAAATGAAGAAGCGATTAGAAACTCAATGTTAACTCAGTATTAAACGGTGGAATTTGAAGTGATTTAGATGTCTATGTCTTGACCTGTGGATTATTGAGCTCAAACCACACAGCCCTGTAATGCGGTGAACGCTGGAACCCCAGTGATGTGAACAGCTTGAAGGAAGTGTCGTTCTCCTCTTCCACGAAGCAATACACAGGGTGTCCTCGCTCCAGGAGTGTTCTGGCCATCATACACACCAGGAACTTGCTGTAGCCTTTACCTCTGTGTTGTGGTAACGTATAAAGTAAGCCAAGAGCAGCGTGTTGGTACACGAGGAGCCAAGACACGGGCTCAGTGCCGCCCTCCTCCATCACACACAGTGAAGGATTATGGGAGATGTAGTTCAGCACTGAGTTGTAGCTGTTACTGTCTCCGCCATACTTCCATGTGCTGTTCACCAGATCCGCGCTGAGTGGAGGACACCTGACACCAGCCCAACTCAAATCACTGAAGAGAAATGAGAAAATTCAAAATATTACAACAAGGGAAATGTAAGACAACTCTGTGCAAGAACAAGGTTTTGAAAATGTTCCCATTTCCCATGTTGTCATCTCCAATTTCCAAATGTTCCCATTTCCATTTATTGTTCCCATTATATTGGAAACAACTAAATGTGCCAACTTCATTTAGAGAAACCCTGCAAAAATCACAGAACTACAAAATTAAGTCATATATGTGAGATAGTCATTTATGATTTAAAAAGTCATAATTATGATGACATAGTCATGATTATATGAAAAGTCGAAATGATGACCCAAGTCAAAACTATGACATAGAAATGATGACATTAAGTCTTAATTATGAGATGAAAAGTTGAAATTGACATAAAAAGTGAAAATATGACTTAAGTCATAATTATGACAGTCATAATCTCACTTTTGATCTCATAACTTTTACTTTGCATGTCATAATTATGAATCAGTATATTGCATAAGTTCGCTGTTCACATTTCTTATGTGGCAGAAATGGGCTTCCATAGGAAACAAGCTTCCATACGAAATATAAAATAAATGGAAATTATAATATATTAATTATAAATTATAAGTAATATTAAGCATCAGTCGGTGTTAATAAAGAGGATGATTTGATGGTGATGTACCTGTCTTTAAACTGCAGCTGGTTCTTGTCCTGCAACAGAAACACATTCATCACTACTTGAACTTTCCATGGAAGTCCATGTTGATCCGCAAACTCCTGAGCCGCTTCTGAATGCCTGATGTCGAGCACTTTATCAGCCAACAGGTTAGTGCATGTTTTATTTAACCACAGTGAAGAGTTTCCTCAGCGAATAGAGTGTGTGTACCTGCCAGTAATGTGAACGAGTCCGTATTGATCACACCAGGTGTGTCCAGAAAGTTCCTCAGGCTGGCTTTGCTCTTTGAGTAGATGCTGTATATGTTGAAATCTCCTTCCCGGTCCTTTGTGCCCTGCAACAAGAATGTTTTTACATATGCCTTGGTTTCATTAAAGTGGAAAATCATAAATGTCTGGATTTGTAAAATGATATTACCTCAACTTTCGGTTTGCAAATAATGACAGTGAAATCTGGCCACTGGTCTGCAATAACCTGCAGATTGTGAGGTTTCCCTCTGTTTATGTTGAATATACAGCCATAAACCTGGAAAACAAGGCATTGTTAAGAAGTGAGACTAAAAGCATTGTGGGAATCTGATTTCAGTATAAAGCAAAATACTTTCTTAAAACTTTCCAGAATCTCCACACCTTGATGGACTCGGGGAAAAATTGCTTTAAAACGCTCTCAGCCTGTGTGAGATCCTCTGTCCCGAGAACGATCATCCTGTACCGTTCCCGACGATCACGGAAATCACGAGATCCAAAGCTGAATCTGCAAAATAATAATAAGGAAGTGTTTTAAAAGTCTCAGTAGCTGTGCGTTTCAGACTCACAGATTATAGCGGTTAAAAATGGTGGTTTATAGTGCAGAAGTGGATCATTTCTATAAAAAATAAACTTGAATGCTGTTAAACTGAAGTGGTTTGCAAATGTGTTTATTTGTGCTCATCGGATAAATACGAGCAACTGGCCGGATTATAGGCTACTGTTCAGGCTGGTTTGGTTTGATAGTTTTGGGCACTCTGAAACCAGTTTACACCATGTAGAACCAGCAAACCGCTTTGTTAAAGCTGTTTTCCCCCACAAAGAATCATTCCTTGAGAGTTTTCCAGCAGGAGATCTGCTAGACTGCTGCTCCGATCGGGTCCTGGGCTGGTCATGTGACCTGCAGATGACGTAAACGCTTCACCGCATCATCAGCTGCAGTGAAGAACATAATTAGAATATGAAATAGATTTTCTGCGATGGAAAAGCTTTGCATCTCTTCTAGTGTTTGAGTCAGTGAGATGAACTCAAGCATGAGCGTCTCTCATCAGCAGAATGCAGAAACACGAGAAGCTTCTCACTGACGAATAAACAGGTGTGTTAAACCGTCAGGGCTGTGTTTTATATTAACGTTTCCACCCTCATACTGATACACACACCTAGATGATTTGACTGCTTTTGTTTCCACAGATTCGGATCCTGCCAGGATGGTTTGCACTCGGATCCTCTTTGCATCCATTGTCTCAGCTCTTATTGTTTCAGGGGAAGGGGTGATAAAGGACAACAGTAATGTTATTAGCGTGGCAAACTTTGCCATGAACTTCCACAATCGCATGAGTAGCTACCCGTACGCGTTTAAAGTGGTGGACATCATATCAGACACGACTCAGGTAAGTGTCGTGTTCATCATGTGACACACATCTGCGTTACTCTGATGGATTTGCTAATAATGTGTGTGTTTGTTGCAGCTGTATCCTCCTGCACGGGTTAAACACATGTTACAGATCCAGGCTGGACAGACTGTGTGTGAGAACCAGGCGAGTGTGAATCTGACACACTGTGCTTTACAGTCTAACGCTGAGGTGAGGAAGAACATAATAATCATAATTAGATGAGAGTTCAGAGTTTGTATTTTCTTGTGTTTTGGGATTTATTTATTTTTTTTGAGACGAGTGAAGAGCACTACTACATACATGTAACATTTTTTGGTTATGTACATATATTTGAGGCATATGCAGTTTGAACCCCAGTGTAAATGTTAATGTGTACTATTTGCATTGCAATAAAGTAATGTAATGCAAAGCAATAATGCAATGAAATGCAATAATTTAGCATGTAATTGCATTTTTGTGAACAAATGTATAATCATTTTTGCATGCATATTGATTGAAATGTGAATATATAAATATACTATATATATAATTTCTTGTTTTTCTCAGAACATGACGTGCTCCTTCACTGTCCTTGCAGTGCCGGGAAACGACTACATCCCCAAACGAGTGCTGTCAGATCACTGTGCCTGAGAATAATGATGGAGATGTTTCCTAATGCTGGAATGTTGTCAGCAGTGCATGCTTTGTGCCTCATATACTTTGTGGCATGTTAATAATACGCATCACTATCAGAATTTTAAAACATTTTTGAAGCATTTCATAAGCTGTCATTTTCAACTTGACTTGTATTTCTCTTTGAGTAACATCGATTTGAGTCTTGTCAAAAAATAAATAAAATGCAAAGTAATTGTCTCATATCCTTGAATCTTTTGTTCTCTTTAACTGTATTTTAGTGATTTAACATATTTGTGTTTTATCAGGCTAATAATACAGAAATTGTTGAGATTTCAGAAAGACTGTTGTCTATGTTTAATATTTATATAAACTACCAGCATATGGGTTGGGCCGACATGACTCTAAGAAATGACACCATATTCATTCTTTGATCAACTGTTTCTTTTCAAATTACGCTGCTCTTCTGTAACTTTTATTTAGGAATGACTGAAATTCAGTTTGACTCTGAAATCAGATATTTATGATGTCTGTCAGATATCAAGTGTCTCATGTGCAGAGATAGGCCTATGTGGCATATGGCAGTGTTTTTGCTGCTAAATCATTTGGGCCAAAGCATTGAAAGTGCAAAGGCCGCTATTATTACTGTAGGAGCCGATTGTGACATTTAGGTTGAAGTTAATTTAATGACCCCTGCTGGTGAATCATGATCTTGCGGCCTTGGAACAGAAGGAGTTAAATTTGCACACCTGTGCCAATTAGTGGCATTAAGGTAGACAAAGGAGGATTCTGGTTGAACAGTTTTTTTGTGTTTTGGACGTTTGTGTTTACTGGTTGGTTTATTTATCAGTTTAGTGACAATTTATCGCATTGAAAGTATTGGATGGATTATGTCGTTCGTCATCCATATTTGTGTTTTCGTCATTACGAGTGTATTTATCGAGAGAATCAAATGCTATATTGGAATAAAACGAACAATCTATTGAAACCCCTGAGGCATCCGAAGTGACTTACTGGAAGAAGGCACTACAATTACTATTATTTACAAGGTTGTGGATGTTTTTGAGGCACTTGTCAGCCATTAGTGGAACATTTAAATGTAAATATAAAAATAAACATTGTAAATGTAACATTTAAAACAAACTATCTATTGTGAATATCTGGTGTGATAAAAATTCTAAATATAAAATATTAAAAAAAATATAAAAAAAATCTTCAAATAATAAACCTTAAAAAAGAAGTAAGCAATTGCTACTTGGTCATAAGCAATACTCTTTTGAGCGACTAGACTAGAGTTACAGCCTCCATCTTCAATTTTCTATATTTATCTACTATTTGTATAAAATTTTTCTCTATATAAGAACCCCAAAACGTTTCCTTGAGACAGACTTTTTCTTATATGATGCGTTAGTTTATTTGTGCATTTTTACTACTAATGTCTGCCCCATTTAGGCTATTCATGGTTCATGGCTTTTACCACATAAGAATAACTTATCAAGGGTTATTGAACTTTTTCACCTCTTAATATTTTTTGCCATAATGATGAAATAATTAATTGATTGAAACAAAATCAGTTCACCATCTTATGGAAAATCATGGACAAAATGAAGACAAAAACATTTGCTAGAATATGTACACCAAACAACGCTGCAAAAGTTTTTATTTTTCAGTTTTGCATAAATGAAAAAATTGATGTCTCTAGAAAGTTCTGTGTACACATTATAACAGTTATACACATGGCAATGGCAGTATAGAGAAAATCATTATCATACCTTCATGACCACATACAAACATTTATTCTGAAATTAAAACAAAAGTCTCAACAGTTGTAGGATTTGTAAAAAAACAAAAACATTTTATGTTTCCATATTGTTAAAGTTTAATGTGGATTTATAGCTCATCAATTCTATATGTAATACAGCTCTAATTCAGCTTTTTAAAAAAAAGGTTTTATTTTTTCAGGTTTCTGTGGTTCCGTATAAAATTGTACATGAAAATGCTTACATTTAATTAAGATCTGTAAGACTACATGACTGCACAAGACACTTCTGAACCTAGAAAAGATACACTGTTTTTTGGACCAACTGAGAATCCAGTTCCCAGGAATTTGGCCTCCACCCCATTCACACCAATAGATGCTCCTGTATCGAGTCCAAGTCCCACTTTCACACCAAGTGGACCGGCTTTAGCTGATACGCTGGCTATTTCTGCCCGAGCCATTGCTCTGGCTTCAACCACACTGATTTGAGCTCCAGCCGAGGCGTTGGGACCTTTGGCTTCGGCCTTGAATACACTGTATTCAGCTCGAGCTCGTCCATATCCTGCTTTTGCATAGACTCCAGCCTTGGGAATCCTCTTTCCTTCATATGTTCCAGCTCGAGCGTAGGTGTTTTCTGTACAGGCATCTCCTGGTCTGTCAATTGTGTCAATCATGTCCATGAAGTTGCCTAACAGATACGGACATTTAGAAAAAAGAAACAGGTTTATATGAATTATTGCTATTTCACACTGAATAACAGAACATTTTGAATGTGACAAGTTGGTTTTACTCCTGCAAGCTGTAAGTTCTGTATTAGTCTGAGATTTGGTTTGCCTACATTTACATTTACATTTATTCATTTTAGCTGACGCTTTTATCCAAAGCGACTTACAATTGCTATATATGTCAGAGGTCGCACGCCTCTGGAGCAACTAGGGGTTAAGTATCTTGCTCAGGGACACATTGCTGTCTCACAGTGGATTCGAACCCGGGTCTCTCACACCAAAGGCATGTGTCTTATCCACTGCGCCATCACCACCAATCCTGCCTAATCCTTCACACAACAGCACTAATTGTTCAAAAGAACTCCTAAAAGAAAGGAAGTGATCTTCTGCATCTTCATAATATGTTAGTAACGCTATATTTTACATATTTTATTTTAACTCAATATATTTTTTGTTTAATTAAAATAATACATGACAACAATGAACTATTCCACACAGAGATTGGATTGCATTTTAGAAGTAAATATATACACAAATAAAATAAATTAACAAATAACACTTAAGTGTTTTATTTTATTTTTATTTATTTTATAAATTTTTTTAATTTTAGTAGATAAAGACTAACTATTAAAAAGCACTTACCCTCTTCTTCATCTCCATCGTCGGATGGACATTCGTTTTCGGACATTTCTGAGTGTCAGGAGTTCTCAGCAGGGCTTTGAGGGTCTCCGGTGGAGCGGTGTCTCGATCAGATCCGCTGCTCCGTCCTAATATAGGCTCCAACCGAAAGTGAAAGTGCGAGGGGTTTTGCCCTGGGTGTCTTTGAACTCACTATATGGAGTTATCTATATGTCTTGTTATTCATGAAAACAGATCAATGAATAACAAGACATATAGATAACTCCATATAGTGAGTTCAAAGACATCAAGGGCAAAACCCATCCATGAGCTTGACATCATGTTCCGTTTGTTGGGGTCCAAAAGTCTAGTTTGACCATCCCTAAAAGGGATATATATTGTTATGGAACATACAATTATTCTATTATAATTATGCCTTTTTGTGTATGAAGTACTAATGTGTTATAGTTAACCACAATTGTAACTTTATATAATGAAAGTGTTTTTATAAAGCAAGACACCAGAGGTTGTTGTTAAATGACTTGTTAAGAACGTGTTATAATGAAGGACACTTGTAATAATCATTGTAACGTGGTTTATGAAGAAAACACTGCAATTGTTGTTGCAAAATCATTTATTGAGACAATTGTAACCCAGACTCAAATTAGTACATTTGCAGTCTATGCCAAAGTTAATTTTTTCCAAAAAGCTCAAAATTTTAATTGGTATAATTACATATTTAACTAAATATGTATGTGAGTGAACAGCAAATAAAACAAAACTTTGTGAAAATGTAATAGTTTTGTTATAATATGTAAATCATATATTTTATTATTCATATAAGTAATATGTAAATTATTGCAGCAAATTGCAACTAATAAGAACTGGAAATAGCACTGCAGATGTTAGCCATCCAATCAGGAAAACCAGGCAGCAGAATTAACTCCGCCCCCTCTGAGCAACGCTAACTCCGCCCCCTGTGAGCAACGCTAACTCCGCCCCCTATGAGCAACGCTAACTCCGCCCCCTCTGAGCAACGCTTACTCCGCCCCCTGTGCTGTGAGCAACGCTAACTCCGCCCCCTCTGAGCAACGCTTACTCCGCCCCCTGTGCTGTGAGCAACGCTAACTCCGCCCCCTCTGAGCAACACAGTTTGGAAAACAGAGACAGAATACAGAAAGGAGAAAGAGTGATTTAGAGAATTAATTGTGAAATACCTGATGAAAACCTAGAATTTCATTGAGAATAAGTTTTATGTTACAAGTACACTGATTTGAGAAGTTTCGATTAGATACTTACTATGCATTGAGTTCTCGTTGATCTGATGTTTAAGGCCGCTAATAGGCAGAGAGCGAGGTCCACTCCTCAGTATGTTTTTTGCTACCTTTTTTCACTATTATTTCCCATTATCTTATACCTTGCTTGGGCCATCACAAGTTAATAATGACCACCCCCAACTCGGCCCCGTTTGGTCTCAGGGGCCAAAAAACACCCTTTTTTGGGAAAAGATTTTGGCGGAATGATGTAATTGTGAATAGTAAGGTACAGCAGCTACATAAACGGTCATATAACCCTAAAATTGTGCATGGTGTATCCTGACACATAGGGTAAACTAGCAGATAAAGATTCTGGAGATTCCTGCCCATTTGCTGTCAAATATCACCCTCAACATACCCCAAAAGACAAAAAAAATTGTCTTTTGGGGTACCTGACAAATTCTCATCAAAAGTGATCATTTTCAAGCATTTTATTATACACATTACTGCCTCAAATGTACATGAAAAACTTCCCAAGTTTATAAGCTTCAATTTAAGTCCAAGATGACCTTTCTATCCGGAGGATTACAGCTGGTAACCAAAGTTCTCCACTGTACCTCGAATTGGAGAAAACGGAACTTTCAAGCATTACCATTCCATATGGGATTAAAGGTACAATATGCAGGATCTTGTCTTCAAGTTGATGGATCTTTTATGGATGAGTGAATACATTAGCCGCGTTTCCACTGTCGGGCCAGTGCTAGGCCAGGGCTTTAAACGGGCCGTGCCGGGCTAATAGCCTCGGGCCA